CCTCGGAAACCCTGTACAGGGTCGCTATGGGTCGGAACCGACTCAACGGCACTTAACAACAACAACAACAATCTGATCAGTAGGCATTGTCTCTCTTGGAACCACTAGGTAGGACTGAACCACTGACATTTCAATTAGCAGGAAAGTGCTTAACCATTGTGCCACCATGGCTACTTATATGTATTCACACATCCCTCTTTTTAATTTAAATGATAGAATATTCTACACTTACTTTACCTTATTTTTTCACTTAATATACCTTGGATTTAATTTCATGTAAGCCTATGAAGATAGATATGTCTGATTTTTGTTCTCAGTAGTTGAAGAGTATTCCCTTGCGTGCATGTACCTGAATGTATTTATTTGTCTAGACCCTATTAATAGATATTTAGGCTGTGTTTATTCCTTCCTATTGCACATAATGCTACCAGGAATATTTTTGTACAGACTTTTTTATAGTGTTTAATTTTGATTCTGACAACCCTGTTCTATGCTTGAAAACCATAATTAAATTTCTAAATCAATTACCAAATCAAACCACAACATTTAAGGAATAGGGTATTGAGTTACAAGAACTTTCATTTGATGACAACTTACAGAAAAGTTAGGTGTTGGCACCATTTAATCACTACTTACTGGAAACTTGAGATCTTTTTTATTAGATATGCTAATAAAATAATTCTACTTATAAGGTTTGTTGTAATAGAATTTTAGATATATACAGTATTCAGACCCTAACTTGTTTTTACTTTTGCCTTTCTAATATTGAAAACTATTAATTTACTTACTATGTACTTTATTCTTTCAACAGTGTAGAAGAAAGTTTCAAGACTTTGTTTTGGTCAATATTTGGACTGTCTGAAGTGACTTCTGTTGTGCTCAAATATGATCACAAATTCATAGAGAATATTGGCTATGTCCTTTATGGAATATACAATGTAACAATGGTGGTCGTTTTACTCAACATGCTAATTGCTATGATTAACAGCTCATATCAGGAAATTGAGGTAAACCTGTTTTCTACCCATTTTGTCTACTTTATCATACCATTCCATTAAGATACTGCATCTGCTTATATGGTGAAATGAGCTCACATAAACTGAAGAGGGGTATAGCCAAGCAGAGAGCGCCTGGGCCTTTTCCACCTGGACAGGTAGTCACAGAATTTCCAGAGTCATCTTCTAGGAGCACACTCTAAATTTTTCTTGCTTTTGAAAGGGAGACAGAAAATTCTGGATAAATTTCAGTGGGTACAAACAAAGGCCTATGTAACTGAAAAAACAAGAAATTGGTATGACTAAACTGATACTCAGACCACTATGTAGGCCCATGGAAATTACATGCAGATAAATGTATGTGAGTCACTTAAACATTTCTAAAACATAACTTACATTTAAATAAAAAACCTCCTGAAATCAGTTACTATTTCAGTTTTAAAGTCAATTGTTATTCTTTTCATTTATCACATAGGATGACAGTGACGTAGAATGGAAGTTCGCTCGTTCAAAACTTTGGTTATCATATTTTGATGATGGAAAAACATTACCTCCACCTTTCAGTCTAGTTCCAAGTCCAAAATCATTTGTTTATTTCATCATGCGGATCCTTAACTTTTCCAAATGCAGGAGGAGAAGGCTACAGAAGGATATAGAAATGGGGATGGGTAACTCGAAGTCTAGGGTAGGTATTAACAATTTACCAAGATTTAAAAATGAATGTTTTGTCCTTTTCTCCTTGTCTTTTGCTGTTTGTTCAATAATTTCTGTGTGAACTCAGAAGATGTTGAAAGTAATTGTCCATTGCATGGTCTTTCATAGGCTAATATGTAAGATCATCCTAATGTTTCAAAAGTCACTTAGTCTGTGTCCTGTTTTGGATCAGAACTTCCTGTAAACTATCAGATTAAAAAACAAACAAAAAACTTCTTTAAAGTATAAAGAAAATTTATTGTTAGAAAATACGGTGCTTTTATATGTTCCATTCTTCTTAACTGTTACGCTGAAGTCATTTTAATCTTGAATTTTCTTCTTGGTGTATGTATCATTCACCATCATCATATTCTTCTGCTTGTGGAAAATCTTTATTTGCTTAAGTAATATTTTTTCCTTAAATTTCATAAAATTGATTCAGCCCTCAAAGCATCCTCAAATACTAACCATAAACATCCCTTTTAATAATAAGCAGAAATGGTTTGCCTTTGAATTGTCCTAGCGGGGCCATACTTGAAACAAAGGGATTTATTCTCATGATGGTATTTTATTATTTTAAACTTAATTTTCAGACATAAAATTGAAATATGAAGCAGAAGGATGGAATTAGTACAATCTAGGAGTCTTGGTGTGGTGCTGTAGGATAAGCACTTAACTGCTAACCAAAAGGTCAGTGGTTCAAACCCACTACTCCTTGGAAACCCTATACAAGGTTGCTATGAGTCGGAGCCAACTCAACAGTTCTTAACAACAAAAACAGCACTACCACTTAATTATCTGCTTTTTAAAATAGATAAGAGTTTCCAAGGTCTGTAATGACCTGGAATCGTATACTTTAAGAAGGTGACCTTTTTTAAACTTTTTGTTATTGTTGTTTGACCTGCATGTGGAGTCTCAAGGCTGTTAGGTTGCAGGGCATTGACTAGCTGTGCCATCCCATGATTTTAAATCTTCATATGCATAGAGTGAGAAGCACAATGATGTAAGCAAAAGCGCATGGGTTTTAGACCTAGTAGACTTAACCACTCTGAGCCTTAATTGCCTCATCGTAAAAGAACACTCCATAGAATTCTTGTGAAGATTATATAAGATTTATAAAGTACCAGCCTCAACAAATATCAGTGCCCTTCCTCATTCACAGTTTACAAAGTGCTTTGCTGTACATTTGAACCTCGTGCAGCGCTATGAGGTAGGTATTATTATTCTTCCCACTTTATAGATAAGACAACTATTAAAGTAAATCACTTACATCAGAACACAGGGGCTAGTCTGTGCAGGTCTGGAACTCACGTTTTACAACACCAAATGTTGCTCTATCTGCTCCACCTAACTGCCTTTGTTGCTCAGCACCTGCTGCCCAGGCCAGATTACTGCCTGCTTCCTCACCACAAGCCCAGCCTTAAAATGGTCCTTCATGGGGCCAGGCTTTAATTACCATTCTGGGCAGTGCCTACTTTTGCTGACATTGTCTTTGCTTTGAAGGAGCTTTGTTCCCTGGCAATGTGTTAAATGACATTTCATCATTTAAAAAGAAACTTCTCCAGTGAAGGAACTCATAGCTCTAGCACTTCACAAAGCACCCCTTGTAGTTTTCTTTTGGTAGTCAACTGGGTTTCACTAGTCTTTACTGAGATTGTTGTTGATATGTTGGTGTTAGCTGCCGTTGAGTTGATTCTGACCCATAGTGACCCTGTATAGAATTTCCAAGGAGCAGCTGGTGAACTTGGACCGCCAACCTTGCAGTTCAAATGACTTTGCAGTCTGACGCATTAATTCACAGCGCCATACCAGGACTCTGGAAGGGGAAATACCAGGAATCTGGTGCCTTGTGGCTAGTAAGATCCCTGGAAAAGAAAGGCAGCTTGTGTACAGAAACTGTGAGGAGAGGAAGTGCTAGATATAAGGTGCTCTTTTGTGCTTGTGTGATACCACGGGTAGGAAAGAACAGCCTTTCTCAGAGTACTGGAAATGGGAGGAAGGTTGAGCATTCACCTCTTGCTTGCTGGCTTCTCACTTTCCCTATTTTTGCTTAAAAACTACAATTTTTATTTCGTTGTTTTTTTTTTTTTTTAATTGTGCATGAAAAAAAATTGTGCATGGTGCTATTTAAGCCCCTTTAATCTTTTTCCTATTTATAGATACTTTGTAGGAAAAATTATATATGTGTGGGGAGTTGGGGGAGCGGGGTATTAGAGAAAAAAAGAAGGAACCAAAGGAACATAAATCTTTTCTACTAACCTAGTTAGTAGAAACTAGGTACGCTCTGGTAGCGTAGTGGTTATGAATCAGGTTGCTAACCTTAGGGTCAGCAGTTCAAAACTACCAGCTGTTCCGCGGGAGAAAGATGAGGCTTTCTGCTCCCATAAAGATTTACAGCCTCGGAAACTACAGAGTCATTGTGAGTCGGAACCAACTCCACAGCACATAATCATCATCAGACGTCTAACTTCAGTTAACAGTCAGATACTGACCTCCTGTGGCAAGTATAAGAATTAACTTTGTTAGCCTAAGGATTTTTTCCTGTCACAATTCTAAGAGTTGTCAAGAGGGTTCTTATCTACCAGTGTGACTTCCTTCTCTCTTAGCATCCTAACCTGAAATAAAGATAGAAAGTCAGGTGGTAGAATGAATACAGATTTTTGGATAGAATCCCACATTACAAGTCTCTACTTGCCCACCAGTAAGGGGAAGGACCTACTCATATACATGAAGAGTAGACAGGAAACGTTTGCTCCTCTTACCTACCCACTCAAAAGTTAAACCTTAGAAAGAAAAAGCCAAACTCTTTAGTCTAATACTCCTCCCAAAATCGTTAACCTGATGCACTGAGGCCAAGATTCTTGGGAAGATATAATATTTGGGCTACTATTTTAGATATTATCTAAATATTATCATTTGTAATATTATCATTTGTAGTCTTAAAATACCAGATGATAATATCACAATCTGCAGTGTGTGCCTATTAGAAAAGGAACTTACTTAGTTAGGTTCAGGGGCAGACAAAACTACTTCTGTGAAATATATTTGATGCAGTATACAAGGTGTCCAGGGAAAATTATGGTTACTATGAGATGACTTTTTTAAAAATATATTTTTTCAATTGAACAGTTCTTGATAAATGTGAGTATGTTGCTCACATTAATTACTACCTTTTGAAATATATTAAAGCATTTATAAAACTCAAGTCCCATAAAATGTTTCTCAGAAATGTTGACCTTTGAAATGTTCTCAAGGAAAATAAAGTAGATTATAATTTTGATTTCCAAACAAATGTATTCTGATTTACTAGGTTAATTGTATTTTTTCCTAGTTAAACCTCTTCACTCAATCTAACTCAAGAGTTTTTGAATCACACAGTTTTAACAGCATTCTCAATCAGCCAACACGTTATCAGGTAAGAATTCATTAGCGGTGTCTCTTTGTCTGTAATTCCATTTGTGTTTGTGTTTATGTTTATGTGTGTGTATGTGTGTGAGTGCTTGTAAATAGTGAGTAGAATTCTATTCTTCATATGTACTACTAGAACAGTCCAGAACAGAAAAAAATACATTATCATAATTGGCAGGGACTATAGAAATCAGAGTCCAAGTCCTTCATTTATTTAGTTGAGGAAGAAAATTCTTTCTGCAATACTGAAAGCAAAGTATGACCACAATTTCCAAAGAACACTTACATATACCTTGAGCTGGAAAAACCATTAGGAAATATGATATAATAGGACAAATAATGCTCTCACAGTAAAGGCTATGAAAACCTGATACATTTCTCCAGGGTTTTCTTTCAGGCAATCCATTTTCCAAATGTTTTATTAGGCTATACTGTTCCATTAGTACCACTTTAAAATATCTTTTGCATTTTGAAATTGCATGTGATATTTGAACATTAATCTCCAACTCAAAAGAGGTGACAGTCATTTATTTTCTGATTCATCATTGTATTATCAAATGTTTAGACTTCTGATGTATACAAGGTCACAAGAATGAGAATTTAGGTATTTACCATTCATAATGTCAATTAATGGGCATAGTCCTCTCCTTCGTATTTCTCAGAAGCAGAAAATTCTGCAAGATTGCTTGGCACACTGAGCCCCAAAGCTTTACTTTTTAGTGGTTGTATTATATTCCATGGTATGGTTGTATTTAATATATTTAACCAGACTTCTATGTATTGATAAAAACAGAGAATGTTGACAATATTTAGCTATTACAAGCAATATAACCTTGTATACATAACATTTCAAACATGTGCGGATATTCAGAATTGTCTGATTAAAGTGTATGTGGATTTTTCATTATTTAGCTATTTTCAAAGTGATTCCAATGGAGCTTGTACAAATTTTACTCTTAAAATAAATGTGTGGGAGTACCCATTTTCTTTTTGGTTTACCAATGTTATCATAGTTTTTTTTTTGTTTGTTTTTTTTATCTTGACCAAATAAGTGAAAATGTTATCACAACAAGGTTTTACCTTGAATTTCTTGATAAATGAACTGAATTATCTTTGCAAGTTTATCATTTTCTAAGATTAGGACCTAATTTATATTTACTTTTCTCAATAGACTTTCTGGTTTTGATGAACAACAATTCTTTAGATTTTAAGAAAATCAACACTTTTGGTACTATTTATATATTTTTATCCAAAGCTTTGTCATGTTTGTGTAGTAAAATTAACAGATCTTTTATGGTTTTAGTTTTTGTGTAATATTTAGAAAAATATTCCCCCATGTGAGATTATTTAAGAATTGTTTAGTCCTACACTCCTTTCGTAGTTTAATTTTTATATGAAAATATACAATCTATATAGAATATATTTTGTTTTTAAGATGTGGTGTGGCAATCCATTTTTTTTTTCTAGATAATTACATAGCTGGGTGTGTTGAATAATCTGTTTTCCATTGGTTTGCAATACCACCTTTTTAATTTACTAAATTTCTATATTTAGATTTATTTCTAGGCTTTGTTCCATTGATCTATCGTTTTATACTTTAGAACCACATTGTTTTAATTATTAAGCTTAAATACACATATGCGTGTACAGATAAACACATTAGGCCTTACTTCAGAACTTTTACTTTACAAAATTTTCCTGGATCTTTTTTCTTGCTTATTTTTCTATTTGAGCTCTGCTGTTAACCAAAAGGTCAGAAGTTGAATCTTACCAACAGTTCATAGGAAGTCCTCCAGATCTGTTTCCATAAAGATTACCTCACAGAAAACCCTATAAGGTGGTTCTCTGTGAGACCTCTATGAGTCAGAATCACACAACAACTGTGATTCCCAAAATACCTCATCGGTATTTGTATTGTGATTGTGTTAAGTTTAGAAATAAATTTTAGGATAGTTGACATCTTTATGTATCTTCCTTTCTAAGAACATGATATACCTTTCCTTTTGTCAGGTTTTCTTTTATGTACTCAGTATCATTTAAAAAGTGATCCTCATATAGTTAGAATTAAGTTTGGGACAAATCACACCAAACTACCAAATACCAAACACTAAGTGCCTTAAGGAAGGA